CTATATATATGTATATATTTATAGACCAACGGATACAAGCGGAACACTGCCACGTCACAAGCACTGACGAAGCGCTTGCAAACCAATTGCCAAGTCCGGCGAAGAGGCGAAATCAATTTGTTTCACTTCAGGAGGTTAAAATAACATCTGGATAGAAGCTCGTTTTACTCATTGTGATGTCTCCATGGCTCCACGAGTTAATTAACGCTAAACACTGTGAAGTAGTTAAGCAGAATATGCATTTTTGCTAGTTTAATATCCACTATTCTGATTATTGAAGTCAGCAGTCAAGTAACAATAAATATTGTCTTCAAGAGCTATACCTGTGCGTCTATTACTCTGGAAACATGTTCCATCTAGTGTATGCCAGATGAGCTGTATATGGATACATCATCCGCTTCCATCCCTTATTTCTCTCCAAACAGAGTTCAAGACTGATGAGATGTGGTCCTTCCTTACGTCCGCTAAATTTGTGCATCCAAAGCGAGACTGGATATCACTGAATGTATTCCATTCATTGTCGTTGTAAGGCGATATTCATTCAGTCCATTCGTCTGATCCGTGGCCTGTTTTCGGTTGAACTTTGCTAACCTTGTAGTTGATTGATACGATCTTTTTCTGGCATTGATCGATGTTATTTTAAGTCAGATAAGCATTAGAGTAAAACTTGTAAATTGAATTGTGTTTAACTCCATGAAAAACCCGTGCTGCTGAGGCCATGCTTTCTCTCTCCTGGTTTGGGAGGCATTAGAGATCGATATTCGACCGTGTGTCCTGTGTTTCGCCGAGGTAGCTTCCGCTCCTGGTACTATCATTTGTTCACGGACTTGATGCTAGTCCGCTGTTCTCGTGTTCCCGTATGCTCCTAGTGCTACTGTACTATATTTTTTGTTCATTGCACTTGTGGTGTTCACTTGTGATCTAGCGATGTGCGACATAATAGTAGGCAGCGGATATAAGCGGAGCAAAACAACTCCGTTCCGTTTTATTTGAGGGAACGTGTTCTGGATCAATAACGTGCACAATCGATAACTCCGGACTATTCTGCACTATCTTGATGAGCACATCCATTCAGCTGACGAAAAGACCCTCGGGATCTGATCGATCTATTCGATGTTTTCCTCCGGACCTTTAGCTGTTAGAAAACCAATGAGGATAGTCGGAGTAACACACTTCAGAAGAGCTTTGAACAGGCTAATGGTGATGTAACATGTTGTAAAGTACAAAGTATACCTAAGGTGGGTAAGATATATGAACCCATAGGGGAAGGAAGGAAAAAAGACTAGGTTCTGGTGTTAGACGAATGCGCTAGGCATTCACACCAAATCGGGACAGGTGCACAGAGCGCGTAAAATGAGTGAACAGGGAATGCCTTGAATAAATTAGTAAACGAACTCGGTAGAGAAAATAAACACATCTATCGATTAGTACAAGTTTCTGTTACATCAGATTATTGTCATGAGTGAAGATATGGAATTAGAAATCACTGCTTGATTAGTTACCTGGATCTTTTGCACTTGATATTGCAGCACAGTGAGAATGCCGAACATGGCACAGACCACGAAGGTGCTTATTATTGGCAGAACACTGATTTTCTTCATTTTGAACACGTCTAAACGTAGAGATCATCGGACAAGAAAAAGCAATGAGTGATCATTGTGTACACTAAGACAACGAGCATAGAATCATAGTTTCATTGGATGCACTTCCTGGTTGCCCGGGGAAAGCAAACATATGTGTCGATTATCCAAATGTTTCACTGCGTCCGTCGTAATGCGGCCCAGCGTATGGTTGCAATATGATTCCCAGGACTTGTCCGCCAGGATGGATAGCACGATTGCCAAGGCAACACCTATCATACACGGTGACATTTCATGTTCACTCCTCAATTTTGCGCAATCCGGAGAATTGCATTTTGGGTGTTTAAGGCTTATGCTGTATTTTTTATTACACACTTTAGTGTGATCAGCAGCAAACCAGGAAAGCCCCATAGTCACGAGGACCTACTGTTCAGTGATGGAAACCGGCAGCCTAAGCCACAGAACTTGGATTGGCTAACCACATAAGGCCCCGATATGCAAGGTGTAGTATTGAACCGGACGACAACAACGCTACTTACTACCGAAGTTGGGTGGCGATGGCGGAGCGCAAACCTCGGACCATAGGGTCCAAAGCACGCAGGTGATAGCAACTAAACCACTGAGATACCTCCACCCAGAATGATGACAAAACACTTCATTTCATAGCACAACACCGCTACTGGTAAGTCCTTGTCATCCCTCAGAATAATGTTTGTGAACGCAAATTTGGATGACTCTGAAGTGGATTCAATAGAATAGTTGTTTCGGTACCGCTGAATGAACAAAAATAAGCAACTATTTTCTTGAAATAACCATCGGAATCGATGATATGAACACTTTTGTGGTGGCATATTCGAAACGAGGCAAATAAAAGTTCGAGCAACGTAGCATTTATACATCTTTATTCATCAAAAACGGAGACTGTTAACTGGAAAACGCTACCCTTCCGGCACGGTTATTCGGACCGATTTACAGCTCCCTTAAACCGCGTAAAAGTAGTGAAGTGTCACTAGTGCTCATTGCATGCCGGCGTGTGTGCGATACCCCCAAGGGTAAGCAGAGTTGAATGCTACCAGGCGTGTCCTCTGGCTGTGAGTAGGGGGATACCTTCAAAGAAGAGCGTTAGCTGTGAGCAATTTGTGGCATACAGCAACAAACAAATAAGCAGTAGTGAACAAACAGCGGCGGCACTACCAGTGGTGCAGGCTGGTCACCTGGATCCTGTTTAAAAGCCGCATAAACCCAATGACGGTATCGTGACAACGATTAAGGTGATTGACCTTTTAAAACTAAAGCTACTGATCCCCTCACTTCCGAAGCGAGGGATTACTTCCTTCTAGCTTGCAGTTCGTACTTGGTTGTGTAGATGCTAGAAGTGCGCCCTCAAAATAAAAAACGCCGAGTGAAACTGGAGAGGTATCTTGTACCAAACTCCCTGGTAACTTCATGATTATGATCATGATCATGCCTGGAGACGGTTTGTCGTTTACAAGGAGCCAGCCGCAGCAAGCTAAAATAAGTAATTGTGTCCGAAAACAGTTTTTCTTGCAATTAGTTTTACGAACCTTTTAAAAGTTGTATAGTGCCTATGTTTATAACCATTGATCACAGGGTTTCACAATTTAATTTTGCTTTTTTCGTATCTCTTGATGAATTGAGGAACAAATCAGTGATGCTTACCGACAGGTTGATGCTTTGTTACTCAGATCGACATAGTGGATGTGAGAGAAAATCGATTCCCAAGCAATAAATGACGGCACAAACGTGACGATGGGTGATATTCACTCATACCGCCGATGGATTCCACTGATCAAATTTTACCAGTCAACGGGACCATAAACCCGATTGCTTCACCTAATCCGATCAAGTTCCCGGATCACGCGTATTTATCAACTTCTAATCTTATTTTCATGAGAGCAAAGAGAGGCATCATGATCACGGGATGTTTTTGAATTCAACTATTTCGTGGTAATCTCATCAGCTGTGTACATACATTCGGATCACGTTTAGTTAAAAGAGTCACAGGTCCGTCCAGTTCAATCGCCCGACATATACTGGATGGGAAAGAAAGTGGCAAATCTAGGGATGCCTTTCGTGTCTTGATCCACCAGAAAGGTAGCCGTCCACTACGATTCGCTGAAACGGCTGCCATTCGATATCACAAGCCCGATTTATGTGAAGCAGACCGAGTTTGTGGCTATAGCCTCGCGCTGCCCCCGCTGATAGGTGTGTCACTGTCCTTTTCTTCCCGTNGTGATTCCACTCCCTGTCCCTATGCCCAATCCGGTTCACATTAGTGACCTTTGGCCTTCGTATTGATTGATTTCTCTTCCCGGTATGTTTTCGCCTATCCCAAAACCTGTCACTCTTATAAACAAACGTGATCCGATTGTATGAACACAGCTGATGAGATTATGATACATATATATATATATATACATATATGATCATAAGTAGTATGTGAATGACTGGGCAAAATTTACCAGTCCACTCATTCACAAACTACTTATTATCAAACATTATACCAAGACCATCAGGTCACGTTTGTTGCGGCTAGTAGCATCTAGCTCACTTACAAAACATCGAATCATAGAATTGATTCTCCAATGGACTGGCTCTGAAACAGCTGTCAGTCCAATAGTCCCCGGTGCTGCAAACAAGGTTATTGTGTCGAATATATATATATATATATAATTCACAAAATTTCGCCAAAATTAAGATTGCAATAATCACGGCAATCGATATATCTCCAAAATCACTAACCTGCAGCTTTGTGCTCGTAGCTAACCGCAGCTTCGGCAATAGCCTCGGTACATGGAACATTAATGGTGATAGGTTTTGGCAACTCTGTGACTTCATTATCGCCTGTGAAATGAGAAGGACAAAAAAACATAGTCACATGCCGAAAAGTAACCGGATTCACCAATTCGTTCCAGTTCCCAGTACGCATTGTTGACCTAATCCACAAACCAGCCAAACAGTATGAACAATTTCAACTATTATTTGCTTAGGTCAAAATTCTCAACCACTTGGTCAGGGAACTCCGATGCTAAACAGTGAGGGAACTCTGAGTCTCTGTCGCGCTTATCGTTGTCTGTTTCGAGTAAGTACTGTTTTTGACCAGTGGCTCTCAAAATCAATCCAGTGTTATCCCCCCCCCGCAAATAAATCCACACCATAACGCGACGGATCAGGCTGAAACTTTTCAACCCCTCTGTCATTGTTGTACGCCTGGATGCCGGGTCAGAGGGTGGTTATTTTTCCTCATTTTGGTTGTCCATACTGTCCTTTACCTTATTAGTTTCCTAAGTACTATGGTGTTCATTATTCTGACAAACATATTCGTGAGTAAATACATACTTATTTAAAGTATACGCTACATGGCTTTGTGGTTGAATGCATTGGCAGGCTCTACGAGCTTGATGTGTTGTTTGCGGACGTTTCGTATCTATGGTGGGCAATATGATCACCGCGATTTTGGGGAGGCACCCTTACTCAGTGTAACCGGGTTTTTTCTACTTCTTTTCACATTTCCTGATTTGTTGTTTGTATCCCTTGAATCCAAGAGACCAATTTCATCTGCTGGATGAATCAGACATTTTTTCCTGGTGACACCCGGATATTTGCGCATTAGGAGACAAGAAAATGCTAGCTATGTTTACGGTTATGTCGAAAACGCTGCTAACGAGTGTTTTGTATGACTACCAGGCTGATAGAGGAATGCATTGTACCACCTCCTAAGCGGATCTGTTTTGAGGTAATTTCAACAATAACTTCTTTGCGGACACCGATAACCGTCTTCGATTAAAAACAAACAAATGAAGCCGGCGGATGCTTGATTCGTTATAAACTCCAGCATTGATTGCAAGTGGCCAAAGGTCTGAGGTGATTTTTATCGCCAAAATGAAATTCAAGCTGAAATGATCGGTTAATTAACACCATTATTTATATTACCAGAAGGAAAAACACGTCACATCTTTAGGCAACACATCAATAATGGAACTGTCAATGTCTGGAGTGCGTCGGTTAGCAATTCAGGATGGTAAACGAAACAATTGTGTGTACCATAAATGAAAAATCTACTTCCAGATAACCGTGTTCAACAACTGACTATTGATAGTAGTCAGTTCAAATGAAGTTTCACATTGTTACACTCGTGTAAGCTTTATGTACGGGTATACTTCTTTCTGGTACAATTTGCCCGTGGAAGGATGTATCTATCCCCATGTAAGATCATCAACAGACCCATCCAAATCTAACTGATTTCTCAGATATCTGCAATAATAACGAAAAAACCGACTATTCACTCTCAGACTCTGAACCAACTAATACATCGTTCAAGTTGTTCTTTGGCATACGAAAGTCTGATGTTGAAATTGTGAAAGTTCGGTAGCCTCGGTGGGTAAAATCATCGGGGCTATCGACGTGGCCTCGTAGCTCAGCTAGTAGGGCTCTGTACAAAACGTGGGTTCGAATCCCACTAGGGCTACTAGGCTTTTCACAACTTCAACCAAATAAATCATTCTTGGCCAGAGAGTGCACCATGTTTACAAAAAACTCCCCCGTCTTGCACCAAAAGAATCTGTAACCGTGGAAACAAGAAAGATAACAACACGATTACATCAGCCATAGTTCATTCTGTGACAAGACTGAGTTGAATTGACGTTCACGATTGCAACATTCTGATGCCTTAGTGAGCGCAACCCATGGCACAATTTTATCACCAGGGTGCTAACCTTCAGTGGCAGTCAAAATGAATAAAAAGGTGCAAAACTCAAGGCTGCAATAATAAGTCAAGCGTGGTTAGCTTCTGACTGGAAGGCCCGTTCTGCCATAGTAAGAGGATAATACAATGTGCTTTTTCAATGGTACCTCGCTGCCACGTCGTAGCTTCCATAGATCTGCTTTTTTCTAGAGAACTCGGTAATTTAGTAAATAATGGTAGTGATTCTCACATGAAGTAGTATGAAAATCACGCAATTCTGAGATCAGAATGTTTAAGGGAATAAGAGAAACAGGGCTGGTAATAACCAAACCGCGAACTTTTAATCTGTTCAGGGAAAATAACTGCTAAACAATTAAGTATGACAGGAGGAATGCATTATTAAATAAAAGAATATACAGTTACATGCTTCACTCTAAATTATTCTAGATTGGTTATCTGGAAGGATAAGCCATACCCAGGTTAGCACATGAGGAGACCACCGTAAATAGCTCTCTACGGTGAGTTCTAGTGTTTTGGTAGTGTTTTCTGATGATGAATGTGGAATTGATAACTAACTAAGAGCTCCAAGAGATACTCAACATGTGAAAGACGATAAACACATTCTAAACGTTTAGAAGCAACCATCTCGAGAATAATTGCATTTGTATTAAGTTATCAAAACATAATTCTACGCAAGTTTGGCTTGAAATGGCTGGACAGAAAACCACGTGATCAGCATCAGGTCTTGGCTAGTGGGAATGAGGGTAACTTGAAAATAAGTAGGGAGAAAACAAAACACCCTGAAGGATTCTAGAATCATTCACTAACGGTTTGAAATAGTGCCGTTTGCTTTCGTTCTTTGAATTCTTCCTGAGAAATAGTCTTTCAACCACAACCGAATGTCTGTAACTTTCGGAAAAGAAGAAATCGTGGAACGAAATCAAG